TTATTAAGTGTTTCTAACAGGTAACACGGCAACCACTGAACTTAAAGGTTCAGTGTGTATATACTTATCCTTATTAAATATATTTTCTATTCAGTAATCAAAATAAACGAATATAAATGCCACTTGCTAGGCCAGGCTGCTTATTTACACTCATATAAGTCATTTATGTAACTGATCCTGCCTATTTTAAAATAACGTAAATCAATAAGGGCCGGCCCTTATTTGTAGACAACAACTTGGACGTTCTTAGGCAATCACATGTGTCCTAAGAAAATGAAACAAAATTTAGATAAATAAGCAATAATTTTAGTAACTTATCCCGTCAATCCACGTTCTGAAAGTATTTTAACATTACTATTGCAAAATTATTACATAACACCGAGTTTTATTACTGAAACAAAGCAAAATTGGATCAGAATATTTTATTCGTTCAGTCACGTCGACTGCACCTGAGGTTACACACAGAGCCACTGCCAAAATGGCCGGCGCGGAGGCAATGAACGTCGGTGCGCTTTTATGATTGGTTACTGGGGAGGCGCTGCGCAAAATCAGTTTTGGTTTAAATATTAAGTGCGGGAAGTTTGAAAAGATGGACCTTATTTGGAACCGGCCCTTTTTAGGCGCACTTACCTTAATACGAGCCTGAGAACAAAAACTATAGTCTACACTACAGCTTTACACCAAAGAGAAGCGAGGGCGGGCTACTACTTAATTTATATACATATACCTAAAATATATTCTTATTGTCTTATCTATAAAAAAAATAAAACAAAAAAAAATCCATACAAAGCAGCGATGATTTACAAATACAGTGAATTTTTAATACCGTCATCCCAATCGAAAATTATCTCAGTAGGTGAACATTTCAATTTAAAGTTTCCGGAAAAAAAATACTTTAGATATTAAAATAAATATACGTAAGTAGGTAGGTACTTAATTTCTTTAATTAGAAAAACATAAGAGATATAAAAATGTACAAATCGATTCTTAGTAATAATTTCTATAATGTCGTACGTACCATGTTACTTAAAAAAATACTCGAAATATCATTTTTACTCATGAAGTTAACTCCATAATAAATGCACTGTCAATTTTTTATTATAGCAATTATCAAGTGTTTGTCATTAAAAGGTACGTGTGAAGCTAAAAAGGATCACACAAAACAAACACGTCCATTAATATACCATCAGCATAAAAGTCAAAGCGCAAAGAGCCACCCGGCACAGTCTCGTCGTGTGACGTCTGCTCGTGGTCGACGAGCAAAGGCAGGTGGACGCCGCATTGTCAACCAGCTATCGTCGGGTGGGCCATGGATGGACGCCTCGTTGTCAACCAGTAAACGTCAGGTGCATAGTTGACTCCGTGTTGCAAGTGAAAATTAAGTAGTGTATTACAGATAGTCACTTTTTTTAGGTGTTATCACAATGTTTAATTTTACAAACTGTATCGACTCTAATAGCTGTTGCGCTTGATGAAGAAGAAAATGTAATGCGTTGTCTACTGGCAGGCAGCGTGTGGTCCACTCAGAAGCAGCGCCTTTACAACCAGCGGTCAGCACACGGCAAGCGTGCGAGCCGCGGGTGGTTACCGAGTCGTCCACTTATTACCACGTATATTAAGCTAGCAGACCATGGTCGCAACGCGCACATCTTACCTACTGGGTATTTAGTTGCTAATTAGTTGCTAATTAGTTACACTATTCCCGATTTAGTTGCTCAACACCTGTAAAAGATACATGCGATCTGCTAGCTTAAGTCTTAACCTAGCAGACCACAATACTGTATCTTCGGTTCTCGTAAAGATATCGAAGTTCTGCAAACGGCATATTTAGTTACTAATTAGTTGCTAATTAGTTACACTATTACCGATTTAGATGCTCAACACCTGTAAAAGATACATGCGATCTGCTAGCTTAAGTCTTAACCTAGCAGACCACAATACTATATCTTCGGTTCTCGTAAAGATATCGAAGTTCTGCAAACGGCATATTTAGTTGCTAATTAGTTGCTGTAGGACAGCATTATTTGTTTTATCCCCCCATCATCCCTTAATTGCCGCACCAGCACCCACACTACCCCCGAAATACGATAAAATTAAAAAGAGCTCATCAGAGAATATAAACTACGGCATATTTCGTTGCTAATTAGTTGCTGCAAAATAGCGTTGCTTATAGTATTTAACTATCAACCCTTAACTCCAAATCAGCACTGCAACCACCCCCGAATAGGACGATATCGGAAAATTCTCGTAGGTGGAAAAAGACGCGGCATATTTAGTTGCTAATTAGTTGTTTGCCAAAAACGCAGTTAAGAGTATTCTACAATCATCCCCTAACCTCAGATGCAACCCCTCTACTCACTTAGAAATAGTAGATGGTTAAAATTCGCACGCAGTTGTTTAAGACTGCTGGATGTTTTGTTGTTAATTAGTTGCTGAAAAATAACGTTGCTTATAATATTTGATTATCAACCCTTAACTCCAGATCATCCCTGTAACCACCCCAGAATAGAACGATATCGGAAAATTCTCGTAGGTGGTAAATAGACGCGGCATATTTAGTTGCTAATTAGTTGCTCGCCAAAAACGCAGTTAAGAGTATTCTACAATCATCCCCTAACCTCAGATCCAACCCCTCTACTCACTTAGAAACAGTAGATGGTTGGAATTCGCACGCGTATGTTTAAAACTGCTGGATGTTCTGTTGCTAATTAGTTGCTCGCCAAAAACGCAGATAAGAGTATCAACCCTTAACTCCAGATCATCCCTGCAACCACCCCAGAATAGGACGATATCGGAAAAAGTCTCGTAGGTGGAAAATAGACGCGGCATATTTAGTTGCTAATTAGTTGCTCGTCAAAAACGCAGATAAGAGTATTCTACAAACATCCCCTAACCTCAGATGCAACCCCTCTACTCACTTAGAAACAGTAGATGGTTGGAATTCGCACGCGGATGTTTAAAACTGCTGGATGTTCTGTTGCTAATTAGTTGCTCGCCAAAAACGCAGATAAGAGTAGCCTACAATCATCCCCTAACCTCAGATCCACCCCCTCTACTCACTAAAAAATAGTAGATGGTTCGAATTCACACGCAGATGTTTAAAACTGCTGGATATTTTGTTGCTAATTAGTTGCTGCAAAATAGCGTTGCTTATAGTACTATCAACCCTTAACTCCAAATCAGCACTGCAACCACCCCAGAATAGGACGATATCGGAAAATTCTCGTAGGTGGAAAAAAGCGGCGGGATATTTAGTTGCTAATTAGCAATACGATATTCTGCAGTAATATACATCTACGAGCGTATTCTGGCCGATTTTTTATTGTAAAGAGAAAATGATGGTCGATCTGAGGTGAAGAGACGATTGTAGAAAAATATCCCGCATTTTTTGTACCCATAAGGGTGGCAGCTGGGATGATTTGGAGTTAAGGGTTGATAATCAAATATTATAAGCAACGCTATTTTTCAGCAACTAATTAACTACAAAACATCTAGCAGTCTTAAACATCTGCGTGCGAATTTTAACCATCTACTGTTTCTAAGTGAGTAGAGGGGTTGCATCTGAGGTTAGAGGATGATTGTAGAATACTCTTAACTGCGTTTTTGGCGAGCAACTAATTAGCAACTAAATATCCCGCGTCTTTTTTCCACCTACGAGAATTTTCCGATATCGTCCTATTCTGGGGTGGTTGCAGTGCTAATCTGGAGTTAAGGGTTGATAGTTAAATACTATAAGCATCGCTTTTTCGCAGCAAGTAATTAGCAACAAAATATCCAGCAGTTTTAAACATCTGCGTGCGAATTCGAAACATCTACTATTTTTAAGTGAGTAGAGGGGTTGGATCTGAGGTTAGGCGATGATTGTAGAATACTCTTAATTGTGTTTTTGGCGAGCAACTAATTAGCAACAAAATATCCAGCAGTTTTAAACATCTGCGTGCGAATTCGAAACATCTACTATTTTTAAGTGAGTAGAGGGGTTGGATCTGAGGTTAGGCGATGATTATAGAATACTCTTAACTGCGTTTTTGGCGAGCAACTAATTAGCAACTAAATATGCCGCGTCTATTTTCCACCTACGAGAATTTTCCGATATCGTTCTATTCTGGGGTGGTTGCAGGGATGATCTGGAGTTAAGGGTTGATAATCAAATATTATAAGCAACGTTATTTTTCAGCAACTAATTAACAACAAAACATCCAGCAGTCTTAAACAACTGCGTGCGAATTTTAACCATCTACTGTTTCTAAGTGAGTAGAGGGGTTGCATCTGAGGTTAGGGGATGATTGTAGAATACTCTTAACTGCGTTTTTGGCAAACAACTAATTAGCAACTAAATATGCCGCGTCTTTTTCCACCTACGAGAATTTTCCGATACCGTCCTATTCGGGGGTGGTTGCAGTGCTGATTTGGAGTTAAGGGTTGATAGTTAAATACTATAAGCAACGCTATTTTGCAGCAACTAATTAGCAACGAAATACGCCGTAGTTTATATTCTCTGATGAGCTCTTTTTAATTTTATCGTATTTCGGGGGTAGTGTGGGTGCTGGTGCGGCAATTAAGGGATGATGGGGGGATAAAACAAATAATGCTGTCCTACAGCAACTAATTAGCAACTAAATATGCCGTTTGCAGAACTTCGATATCTTTACGAGAACCGAAGATATAGTATTGTGGTCTGCTAGGTTAAGACTTAAGCTAGCAGATCGCATGTATCTTTTACAGGTGTTGAGCAACTAAATCGGGAATAGTGTAACTAATTAGCAACTAATTAGTAACTAAATATGCCGTTTGCAGAACTTCGATATCTTTACGAGAACCGAAGATACAGTATTGTGGTCTGCTAGGTTAAGACTTAAGCTAGCAGATCGCATGTATCTTTTACAGGTGTTGAGCAACTAAATCGGGAATAGTGTAACTAATTAGCAACTAATTAGCAACTAAATACCTAGTAGGTTAGATGTGCGCGTTGCGACCATGGTCTGCTAGCTTAATATACGTCTTATTACCGCCTTCCGCAGGCAGACAGCTTGCGAGCGACGCGATCCGGTAACGGCACGGAATTCATGTAGTAAACGTATATCCATAGCAACCCGTACAAATAATATCAACCGCACGAGTTGAGGCGGTGCTGGTCGGGTGCCGGATGGTTCTAATGAGCTGTGGCCTTAAAATAGGACAAGTACCCTTAGCACGAGTTTGAGCTCATGAAAACTATCATAGTTTTCGTAATTGTAAATTATGTTTCTATGTCCATTTTGGTGAAAAGTAACCAAATATACTTAAAATTTAAGAAGACGCAAATGATTTAATGATAGAATTTAAACACTGTTTATTTGTATTGAAACCAAAACAATAAAATCAATTCCCTTAATACGAGTGCGAGCTCACGAAAACTATCATAGTTTTCGTAATTGTAAAACTCGTACTAAGGGTACTGTACAGTTTTTTTTTAAATATATATTTTGGAGCATTATTATTTTTTAAATTTAATTATTATGTTAACAATTTCATTGCAATTGATCAATCCATTTGATTTGTACTTAAAAAATGAGTGGGATAAGGTTATTTTATTTAAATCTTACAACTATTTGGCTTTGGGCCCTATAGTATATTTGGGGTAAGGTGGATATGTAGGATAGGGATGACACGGTATTTTAAACTAAGAAGGTGCGATTTAACGGTTAGTGGAATAAACGGGATAGGGGTCGTATGGCTTATAGGGCTGGTAGGGCTGATATGGCTTATAGGCGGGATATGTGTAAGTAGAAGCTGATTGCAGAGCAGGTTGAGGTGATTCGGGAGGTAATTCAGTAACAGGTATATCCTCGCTTGGAGAGAAAGAGGGCGTAGGGGTTGCGCCGATGTTAGGATATATGGGGTAGGAGTTGTATGGCTTATACGTGGGATATGGCTTATAGGTAGGATATGGCTTATAGGTAGGATAAGGCTTATAGGTGGGATATATGTCAGCAGAAGGAGATTGCGTAACACTTGAGGGGGATTCAGGAGATATTATACTAGTGGGAATTTCCTCGCTTGGAGAGGTAGGGGGAGTAGGGCTAGGGCTGTTATTAGGATATACGGGGTAGGGGTCGTATGGCTTATATGTGGGATATGGCTTATACGTTGGATACGGCTTATATGTGGGGTAAATATCAGCAGAAGGAGATTGCGTAACACTTGATGGGGATTTGGGAGGTAATTCGCTAGCAGGTATATCCTCGCTTGGAGAGGATGGGGAAGTAGGGCTAACACCGTTAATGGGATATACGGGGTAGGGGTCGTATGGTTTATAGGGCTCGTATGGCTTATAGGCAGGATATATGTTAGTAGTAGGTGGCTGTGGAGTGCTTGGGGAAGACAGAGAGCTAGGTGAGGGTACAGTATTTGGGGGATATGTAGGGTAAGGTGGGTATGTTGGATAGGGGTCGTATGGTTTATATGTTAGGGTCGATGACGAGGTAGCTTCTGCTACTGCAACATTGGAAGTAGTTGCTACGCTGCTTGCTGCTGCGGTAGCTTGCTCTGTACTATCCACTAGAGCTGTAGTTTTTCCTTCGGAATTTGTGGAGCAAGCCATCGCGATAACCATCTAAAAAAAGAGGGAGTTTGCGTTAAATACATACTGTTGGTTGATTGGAGTGTATGTAGAACGAAAGTCTATACCGCAACGAATGATGTTCTAATAAGAGGAGGGAAATCATCTAAGAATAGTCAGGGACCGTAAAAAATGTTTAAATATTGATAATTAAATTTTATTATGTTAGAATAAATGTTATCTTTGTGTGTGTGTTTTAATACAAGTATTATTTATTATTGAGAAAGTAACGTGACATAAAAAAAGGAATTTTCAATATTTAAACTTTAGCTCATTTTCCATTTTCTGACATTTCTTAGAAGATGTCCCTCCTATTTTTTAGAACATCATTCGTTGCGGTATGGACTTTCGTTCTACACTCCAATCAACCTACATGCTGCCTACAATGCAGTTTCTTTGATGACATATTTATCTTTTGCCAGTTTGGTAGAATATTAAAGATGCAGCTATTGTAGTTAAATAATAAATATTTCCAACATTCATACCAATAGCCTAGCCCCAAAGTAAGCAATGTAAGGAGGATAGAATACATATACTGTACATATATAAGCATATTTATGTAAAAATACATATTAAACAACCATGACTGCAGTAGAAATGCTCGTACTCATCACACAAACATCTGCCCCCCAACCGGATTCGAACTCTCGAGTCAGCGACACCACGAAACCCAGAGTACAAAAAAAATTGGCCACGGAGGTCGTGAAAGCTAGTAGTTAAAATTGCATACGTTCCGTTCAATAGAACGCTAAGTTAATAAACTTGGGATCGTATTTTTCGCAAAAACTTTTTTCATTAAAATTTTTAATAAATATGAAAGTGGGGTTTTTTTGTTACATTTTCACACGTAACCCGCTGAATGAATGATGATGAAGGTATTTTGTTATTGAGATTATAAAATAATGATGAATTGGTGCTTAGTGGTTCGTAGCTGCTAACGACTGCAGTTGCAGCTCGGACCAACGGCTTTTCCTGCCTTCCACAATACGAAGGATTTCTAATCTTCAGCGAGGTACTTTTTTGGTCTCTCATTATATGCAGGGCCGGATATAGAGTTGTGGGGGTCTGTGTTTTACAATTTCTGCCCTGATTATATGACTGGTCACTTCGTAACTTCCCTAATCGTAAACACATTGCACTAACCTCTGCTCCATTAAGCTACTCAATATAAGAAAAAATGTATATGGAAAGACTGTGCCCCTTGTTACACTGTCCCCTATTTGACCCTATTTATGAAACTTCATCACCCGATGGGATAAAATGGCAGATGAAACTTAAAAGTAAGTAGTACTTAATAGGTACACACAGATAAAGTCCCGGGTCGCGGGCACAAAGGAAGCTTCTTAATTTACATAATAATATGTGTGTATAAATAAAACGTACCACAATTATGTGCCTCATCGCGTACGATGCAACCAAATATAGCTTAGATGTTGCACCACAATGAACTGGCCCTTTTATAGCAGGTTGGCGACATACCAGCTGCGCATACATCGCTATGAGATTCCTAGAAAGCGCAAATGCAATTGATGACCAATTTTCTGTGATATTAATATTATGCATACGTGGAAGTGTGAAAAGGACGATGATATTATACTTTTGCCGTTTATGGAAGACCGGCCATGTGTGTGTCGGGTCAGGCTACGTGCAAGGGTGCCGCCTCCCCAGGCTTATATATATTATACTAGCGGCCCGCCCTCGCTTCGCTTCTCAGGCTTGTATTATACACAATGACATTCATCTATGATTCTTCTTATACTTGCATGCAAAGTCTCAGTCCGATCGGTTTAAAAATCACAAAGTTTCATACAAACTTTCATTCCCTATTTTATACCCTTGGGGGTAGAATTGATCAAAATCCTTTCTTAGCGGATGCCTAAGTCATAACATCTACTTGCATGCCAAATTTTAGCCCGATCCGTCCAGTGGTTTGGGCTGTGCGTTGATAGATCACTATGTCAGTCAGTCACCTTTGAGTTTTATTTATATAGATGTAACTTGCAAGTTCTGATTTGCAACCGGTTGCTATAGTTCGGCCTCACATGGAGTACTGTTCTGATCTTTGGGCGGGGGCATCCTAGTACAAGCTTTTCCTTCTAGATCGCATCCAGTACCGAACAACTCGATTCGACGATGACCAGAACCTTTCTGATTAGCTTGATCCTTTTGCTTTGCGTAGGGATGTAGCTTCGCTCTGCATATTCTATAGCATTTATCAAGCCGAGTGTTCAGAAGAATTGCATCGCCATCATCTTGATGCGTGGTTACCCACTACCGTGCGATTTTGTCGAAAATTTTCTACCACATACGATAAAAATTGTGGAATACATTGTCGCCAGCAGTGTTAAATTTAATATCGTTTATTCTGTTTAGCAGGGCCGTATAAGGGCAGGACAGTGGCCACAACAGATACAAAATAACTATATTTTGATGACCTTCGTGGTCGAGAGGTTGTTACGAATCCCGGTGGGGGCAGATGTTTGTGTGATGAATACGAGCATTTGTACTCCAGTCATGGATGTTTAAGATGTATTTCTATATAAATATACTTATACATGTACTGTATATGTATTCTATCCGTTACCCTAGTATCCCATAACACAAGCCTTACAGTGCTTACTTTGGGGTGTGTGTTGGAAGTATTTATTTATTTAACGGGTCACCAATCGGAGGGGAGCAAATCGTACGTTGGCCCGGTTTCCAGATTTTAAAATACGTATTTACTAATACGGATTTAGAGGTGGGGGGGGGGGGGGGGGGCTCTGCTGTTTAGGCTGTTAGCGTGTTTGGCCTGCGATCCTGGACGAAACTTTCGTTATAGCCTGTCATTGGATGGGTGACCAGAACTTATTGTTTCTTGAGCTCCTCCGTGCTTCAGGAAGGCACGTAAAGCGGTTGATCCTGGCTGCATACGCAGTCGTTAGCATCACAGAACTGAAAAAAAGAGTAGAAGTCAATTAGTGTTGCCAGGTGTCCCGATTTGCGCGGGACGTCCCGATTTTCAGAGGTCTGGGGACGCGTCCCGATTTGTACCTGATCGGGACGCTTAATGTCCCGTTAAATTAATCAAAAAATTAAATATAGGTAATTAATATAATACTATATTTGCACTACTACTTTAAAACGCAATAAATCAAACCCAGGCTTAAAAACCCCTTGTGTTTTGTTTACTGTCCCGATCTGCAACCCTAAGTACCGATTCTATTGACCTCATGTACCGATTTAAAACAAATCGGACCTGGCAACACCAGTTGCAATTGAGATCGCAACACGAACGTATAGCGAAAAAACATAAATAAGCCTAATTGTTCTGTACTTCAGCGCACAACCGAGGCATAACATACCAGTAAAAATTATTATAATATTTTCTATTGTAATTAAAAAATCTAATTTGATTGCCATTTGCATGATGAAAAACAAGACACATTCAACTTTATTGTATATATACGTAAAGTCGATTCACAAATTCTAGAATTGTCCATGAGGGAGAGGGTGGGAGAGGAGAGCTAGAGGGAGGGGGAGGAGAGGAAAATGAGAGGGAGATGAGGGGAAGATAGAGAGAGCGGAGAGGGAGAGGGAGAGGACGGAGAGGAGCGGGACAATAATGATAATGACTAAAACCCCCTTTTACTAACAGCCGCGCTCAGAGAAGTACATTGATTTTTAATTACGATATAGGTAATTTGGTGCTAACCTATTCTTACAAATAACAATACAGTAGAAAGAGACAACAGGCCACTTGACAAATTCTAGAATTGTCCATGACTTCCTGTTTTATTCTGATTCCGGATATAGCTGAATTAGTGTTGTGCGTGCATAAATTGAGTGTAGTATCGATAAGTCCTAATATCGACATAATATGATAGTACATAATACAAATTTGACAAAAGCATTTTTTTATGGATACGTAACATCTTCATCATCAGCCGGCTAGGCTCCCACTGCTGGGGCACAGGCCTTCCCTGTGGATGGAATAGGGAGATTAGGCCATGAGCCCAGGACCCACCACGCGGGTCCAAATTCAAATCAATATGACTCTGTATTGTTTTAACTATGTGAAAAATGAAAAAGTACGTGTTCTATACTTTTTGATAATCTTGATAGAAGAAAATAAGTTAGCCATCGGGTGCCGTTCAAGTGTTACCTAAGCAGAGTTTTTACAATTATTTACCCCCTCCTCCCCCTTGTCAGCAAAAGTAAGCAAAGCTCTTTCTCCCCCCCTCACGTGCTTACGTAAACATTGGTACCTACATGCATTTTTCCTTTAATGTATTCTGTTTTTTTATTGATTTATTGACACAGTATTCAACATTGAGTAAGGTACTATTACGAACAAAACCAACTTCTTTCGGATTTTTGGTATATGTATACAGTCTTCAGTCCATGACACCCGAATCCATGATGCTGACGTAATCACTATCTCGACCCCCCCCCCCCCCCAAGTCATCAAAAATAAGCAACGCAAAGACCCCCCTGCCCCCCTATAGTGCTTACGTAATACTTGAACGGCCCCTCATCACTATTGTGGATCTTGTATTGGCTTTCATTATGGATCTTTGGAAAAAAACACTCTTTCTCACGACATATCTTTAATAGTTTTAGCGCCGAACTCATCGGGCGTTGGAGTCATACTGAGCTTCGATATTTGCTTGAACGCGGGATGGTTCTTGTCCCTCAACAGTTTGAAAAGCACGTTCTCCGATGATCCGACGAAACAGCCGATGTTTTGGAACCGCTGAAAACAACACGTGTCTTGATAACTTTAAGGTCTGGTAATTTCCCTAGATTGGAGGAGCTCGATGGCGTAGGTGGTTAGCGCGTTCGGCTGCGATGGTTACAGTTAAGCAACTTTCGCAGTGGTCGGTCATTGGATGGGTGACCAAAAATCTTCTATCTCGAGTTCCTCATATACCAAATCTCATCTTAATCAGTTTAGCGGTATAAGTGTGAAGACGTAACAAACAGACACATTTTCGCATTTATCTTATATATAAAATTTTCGTGTCACAATGTTAGTTACCATATTCCTCCGAAACGGCCTGACCGATTTTTATGAAATTTTATATGCATATTCCGTGGGTCTGAGAATCGGCTAGCTAGCTAAAATAGATAGCTATTTTTCATATCCTAAAGTCATAATGGTTGCCCACCTGTAACGCAGTGTTCTGAAACCTATAATGCGTCTTCGCGCCAAAATTCAAATTATTGGGTATTGAAACGTAGTGTTCTCATATGGGTTAGGAGGAATGTTATCCCAGGAAATTGATAGTATAGTACGTTACACACCCCTAAAATTTTTTTGGCCAATAAATATTTTTTTAGCATGTGATATGAAAAAATACACGCAACCCTAAATTTTCTCTTCTACCACCTGCCCCTATTTTTTTGGCGGTAAGAAGTTCGCTGGGTCAGCCAGTAACTTATATAAGTATGGATGTTATATGAACAAGCCAAAGTATCAAACTTTTCGGAGATAACGAAGTAAATGAAATAACCAGTTTCTAACAATAGAAAAATAAACATTTAATTTAAAAACATATAATAAAAAAGAACTACGTATTTTAAAGCTTTGATGATAGAAAGTCCAGCGTGTCTGTAGTTGGTTCCCGGCTTAGTTTCGACACCGCTTTGAATGCCGGATGCTGTTTATCTCCCAATAGTTTGAACATCACATTTTCGGAGGTTGATACGAAAGCGCCAATGGATCGCATGCGCTGGAAGGTTAGTAAAGGCGATTGAATATTTGGACAAACTGTTATTACAACATTTACACCAACACTTAGAAAGAGAGAAGTGGCAGGCGAGGAGAGGGAGAGGAGAGCTAGAGGGAGGGGGAGGAGAGGAAAATGAGAGGGAGATGAGGGGAAGATAGAGAGAGCGGAGAGGGAGAGGGAGAGGACGGAGAGGAGCGGGACAATAATGATAATGACTAAAACCCCCTTTTACTAACAGCCGCGCTCAGAGAAGTACATTGATTTTTAATTATGATATAGGTAACTTGGTACCAACCTATTCTTACAAATAACAATACAGTAGAAAGAGACAACAGGCCACTTGACAGCAAGTAACATAGCGACAATAATGATAAAGTAAGTGAGTAAGAGTGATGGATGTGTCAAATCCACAGAACCTAGAAGGGCGTTGTGGACGGGGCAGGTGCGCCACAGTTATGTGTGAGCAAATGCTCATAACTTAACCAAAACTTGGCAGTAAACTAAACTGGAACACAAAATCAAGACAGCCAGCGTAGCACTTTTGAAATGCCGTCAAATGTTAGAGAAGCGTTGGGGTCTTGCATCAAAACTGTTCCTATGATTATATTACACAGATCTACCCAGTAAACCTGTGTCAATAAACTAAAAAGCTTCCAGCGGCAGATATGCAGCGCGGAGACTGAGTGCATGAGTACGGCTCCAACCGCAGCTCTGGCAGTTATGATAAACATCACACCGCTCCACATATACATAAGACAGGTAGCGGCTAAAACAGCGTTGAGACTACAAAAGTTTGGACTGGTAAGGTTCGAAAGAGCAAGACATCTCAACGGTAAACTGAAGGAATGGGTAAACACTCCGCTCACATTAGCGGCATGAGACAAAATCATACCTGCGCTCATCTTTGACAAAAAGTACAGAATACATCTACTGGATGACAACGATCCAAAGGTAATACACAAGGCTATCATGATCTACACCGACGGTTTCAAAACCTCATCGGGCACGGGCGCGGGTGTTTTCTCCGAGGACCTCAATATACACATCGCTTTCCCCTTAAGCCCGTGCAACACAGTTTTCCAAGCTGAATGTTCGGGCATTATACCGGCGACAAGAGCGATCCTCTCCAGAAAGGTAAAAAAATACGAATACTGTCCGACAGCAAATCAGTCTTTCAAAGCTCTAGATGCCACTTTAGTCAAATCGAGCCTCCTACAAGAACGCCACCAAACTTTAAATACGGTAGCGTCAAGCAATTTTTTAACTATCCAAATGATCAAGGATCACGCGGAAACGACGCTGCGGATGAGCTGGCCTGGAAGGCTTCCGATACGACCCCAATAGGTCCGGAACCAATCGTCCCGGTACGGGTAAGCTGGTTCGTCAATAAAATCCGCGAGCACACAGTCGCAATACACCAGCAACACTGGCTCGATCTGGAAACGTGCAGGCAGACCAAGCTCGCTTTGCCACGGGTAAACGATGTCCTCTCCAAGCTCTTCTACAGCTAAGCAAACCTACATTTCGCAAGGTAACAGGTTCTATTACCGGACATGCCCATTTTAACAGACATCTTTTTAACTTAGGTGTCAAGGACTGCATGCAGAGGATGCATGGAGGCAGACGAAACAGCTACTTAAGTTCTGCTGGAATGCAACGGAGTGGCTGAATACCGGGCTAAATACCACCGGGAAATCTCCAAATGGCAATCATCAATGTGAAGGCCCTGGGGGCGTTGCTGACGGAGCTGG